GTGCGCCCCCTATACTTTCGAATCGAGGGGTGATGTTGGCCGTGTTTAGTACTGTTGGCCTTCGTTCTTCATGGAGGTGGTTAGTCAACTTATTACCTCTTGTCGAGGTTAGTTAGCTAAGTCTTCAGCCAACAAAATGCCCCACCGAGACACAAGCTTCGACGGAGATTTCTGTCGACTGAGACGCTTAGTGTCTTTCGAGATCTGGCTTTTCATCTGTCATGGCCTGGCTGTCGATACTTCCATGTGCCGGTCGCTTCTTTAGGTAATGATGGCACCTTTTTCTGAAACACAACTTCCAAGGATTTCCATCACCTTTTCCCACTTCCCCACATTATTAACCACTCCTAATCATGACTTCCCCCACAAATGGGTTTTGAAAAGCCTCTCCTTTTCGTCTTCTGCATTGATGTTTGGGTATAAATACCCCCTTAAGTTCTTACGTTAAAACTTTCCTCTTCAAACCCTCATCTCTGCATTTCTTCTGCTTCTTATACTAGAATTTCATCAGCACCTTACAAAGCTTCCATGGCTTCTTCTTACCAAAATCCTTAAACCACCGGCAACAATCCTATAGCTTTTGATTTTTCAGAAGCTGAGATGCATAAACCTCTTCCAAATCCCATGTCCTCTGATGAAACTATCATAGCTATGTGGAAGAAACAAATGCTGATCCCCTTTGGGGTGGCTGGTCATCTTCATGCGTTCCACGACTCATATCCTCTTGGCAAACCAAACCATGAGGCCATGCAACCCTTTTTCCTTGACTTAAAATTTATGGCGCCTAAAGCCAGAGTCTTCAGGTCGATGCCCACCCTTGGCAACAAAGATTATTTAGCTTGGATGAATAAGGTTCAGAATAAACGTCAAGATCAGTGGAAATGATCTAGCATCTTCGACGCCATCCAGCTGTCGAGGAACGCTCACAAGGTTAATCCCTGTCTTCTTCTAGCAGCCATGTTCTTTGGGGAAGGCTCGACCAATACCTTCCAGTTACCATGTGGGATGTTGACACCCACCCTCTTCGACGTGGCAGCCATTACTGGTCTTTCTCCGATGGACGAAACTTTCGACCCTACCATTGAGACGAAAGCCTCCTTCGACTTTGATCGTGCTGGTTTCCAAAATTAAATCAAGGACCATCATGACATGACTTCCAACGAGGTATCCGATAAAGAGCACATTGCCTTTCTGACTCTGTGGCTCTCATATTATCTTTTTTGCCCAGGTTCTTTGCAGATAGCAAAGAGTTATATCAACCTGGCCATCCAGATTCATGAGGGTCGATAAGTGGCCTTGGGTAAGCTTCTCCTAGCCTCCCTTTATCATTCTGTGGGGTTTGCCTCTCTGAAGATTGCCCATCTCTACGACACTGTAAAAGCCCTGAATCTGTCGGCCCCCATGTGGCTGCTGCAAGACTTGCTAAATGCCACCTTTGAATACCAACTGGGCTATCCTGTATCAGCCAAGATGGAATGACTGATGGAGGATCGACCGGTGGAGGGAGTCCGTCTTGCTCTGATGACTACGCAGGAGACTCCCAACAAAACGTTGTTTATGAAGTATTTGACGATGTTCGCCGAGGCAACTGTATTTGTCCCTGACATGGCTCCTTTTGTCCTCCGACAGTTTGAGCCGACTTGGTTCAAGAACCCTTTCCCATGGACTTCCCTCAGTAATGCTACTATTTCTAATGCTGTCTGGAGAGCATTTCTAACTTCGACGATGCTGTCGTTTCACATTGACTCGAGCAGCACCGGGTATGGGTTTAAAAACTACCAGCTCAACATGGTTGCCAGACAGTTTAGCCTGAGCCAGATGTTGCCGAAGTCACTGGTTCGTCATCGTGATGACGTGGTGTGGGTCGGCCGGAAGCTTGACCAGGCTAGTCACACGAGCTGTCTCAGGTTTGCTCATTCGACCCAAGGCTTTGAGTTGCTTGTGTTCCGCTACAAACCCTCCTTCTTCTCCACCGAGAGCTTCAACGTCTGGTGGTCGGAGTACCTTGTGCATCACTTCAATCATGACTTGTTCTTAGAGAATGTGGTCGATGCTTTTGCAGCTCTATCGAGCGATGTCCTTGCGCCCTCAGAACCCATAGCTGAAGCCCCAAAAAAAGTAAGCCTATTATGCTTTTATCTGCTTTTTGCTAGGTCTCTTAAGACTTTCTTCTGACCTTTTCCCATTTCTTATAGGTGCATAAAAGGGCTCCCCCTGTTGGGTCGGCTTCGACCCAACCATCCAAAAAAAAAATCAACACTGTCCAGGTATGGCTGATTTCGTTTTGTCTTTCATCGCATTTGTATCTTTTTGGTCGGCTGATCTTTGATTGATTCCTAAACAGGGTTCTGATACACGCCTCAACGTGGTAGTTTCAGATGAGAGTTCTTGCTTACGGGTATTCACTACTGGTCCGTCGAACTCCCCTCCGGCCACTCCTTTGAGGCGAAAAAAGAAAGCACCTATGAAGAAAACGCCCCAAAAGGACGTTGCGCCGGCCCCAACACTTGACGTGCCAGAAGACCTGATTGAGGTCTTTCAGAACGTGGCCACCAGAGCCTCTTCTCTTCCTAGACCTCTTGAGGTACAAATTTTCCCCCTCTTCTATCGGTGGTTGTTCTCCTGTTTCTCTTTGTCATTTGTTAGCTTTGTTTGTCATGCAGGAGGTCGAAGATCCACCATCCCCCACTCTTGCTGAAATTATGGCGAACACTATGGGACAGTCTGTTGAGACTACTCCACCTCCAAGTCCCCAAAAGTTCAATGAGTTCCCAGAGGCATCATCTAAAGACATTTTGAACCCTAGGCCTGCGGTGGTGGTTGATCTTGAGGAAGACGCTGAAACTGCTGCTCCCAATAACGCCGAGGCGGACACTGGTGCTACTCAAGAGATTGGACCTTCTTCACCCCCAAGGGATGTTGCCGCCACTCCACTTGATACTCCAGAAGCTATCCTGGCTACCAAGTCATCCAACCCTGCGGAGGCCCTAAGAGCTCTCCTTAAGTTTCATGGGACCGTCGAGGCCGTTAACCCCGCGGGGTCGAAGAACACTGTCAACCCGACCGAAGACACTACTTTCAAGCTTAAGCTGCAGGAGTTGAGGACTTACTTGTTTGGGGCATAGTTTGTCGAGGCTGCTGCGGACGCGCGTGTGGCCCGAGATATCTTCAAAATCTTGGACGCCCTTTCAGCTTTCGACGTACCAGCTCTGGCAACCGCCTATCTGATTGAGCTCGAAGCCTTCCTGACCCAGCTGGCGAAAGATGCGTCTTTATGTAAACATGCAGATGATCAAATCCATGCCCATATTAATGACATGAAACAGGAATGGTATCTTAGCGCTGTTGTGAAAAGAATTTGCAAGATTATGAGGCCTCTTAGAAGACCCACTCCGACAAGCGCCTGGCCCTTGACCAGCAGATAGCTGGTTATCGAGCACAAATAGTGGAGCTTGAGCAAAAGATCGCTGGTGTTGAAAAGGAAAAGGCATCTTTGGATGTCGACGCCTCTTTGCCTGCCAAGGAAACTGTCGATCAGAACGTGGCTAAAGAGATCTCTCATGTCGAAGCAGCCTTGAAGATTAAAGTTGCTATTGAAAAGCTTCGTCAGAGGAAGTTCGTTCAGGAAAGTCGACTGGACCATGAATGCACCCTGCTAGAAGGTTTCAAGGCCCGATTTCCAAAGTGACTATTTTACTCTTTTGTTGTTTCTTGTAATTTGTGTTGGTCGTCCACATCCGTCGGCTCATTTAATAAAACTTTCATTTACCCTTCCGAATTTCTTGAAGTATAGGCCTATAGGCCTTTAAGTATTTTCTGTTTATCCGGATGACCCGTCGGTCTCCTCCGACCTCCTGGATCTCATAGGCGTTGTGACTAAACATTTTGGATACTTGGAATGGCCCCTCCCAATTTGGTGACCACTTACCATATTTTTGATCTTTTCGATCCATCGGAAGGATTACTTTCCATACGTAATCCCCGACTACGAAACACTTTCTTTGGACCCTCTTGTTATATGTCTGGGCTACTCGTGCCTTATGATGTAGTAATGCATCGAGTGCCTCTACTCTTGCATCGTCTAAGTCCACCAGTTCATCCATCATCATCTCCCAATATTGTTCCGACAAGATCTCATGTTGTCGTTGAGTATGCACTGATTGTAGGTGAATCTCTGCTAGCAAAACGACGTCATGCCCAAACACCAAACGAAATAGAGACGTTCTGGTAGATTCTTTTGAAGACGTTCGACAAGCCCACAACACTTGCACTAGTGGAAAAAGGCTTTTTAAGTCAGTTAAAAATGACTTTTTAAGTCGGGTCCGAGCCCGATCTAAGACTTACCGACATAAGAAGTTTTGACTTCTTAAGTCGGTTGTGGACCTGACTTAACAAACTATTATTAGGTCGGTTAGACAGAACCCGACTTAATAAGTCTAGCCTGAAGAAACCTCTCGGGCCATTTATACCCGACCTAAGAACTTACTTTCTTAAATCGGATCTAACTAACCGACCTAAGAAGTTGTTGTTGTTTTTTTGGATAATCACACAAATCAGATGCAGCTTTCCCATTTAACAATTTACCCCTAAATCAGACTATCCAACTCAATCAACAAATTACACCCAAAAAAAATCACACAACACAAATCACAATAAAACCCCTAATTATCAAATAAAATAAACCAATAACTTATAAACACAATTACGTATATTAATAATACTAATACACAAACAAACACGTGCATGTTAATTCTATGCGCAATTCAAGTATTTGTAAAAGTAACAAGTTTGCAATGGGATAATAATATTGTTATACCTAACATAAATTGGACATCCACCGATTGCACGAGCTGCAGTATGATACTCAGCTGCTGGATGTAAACTCTGAAATCACAAAGATATTTGTTAGAATGAAGAAAAATCAACACCTAAAAAAGAAGGTACTAACTGAATTAGAGTTGAAGATTAATTCAGTTTCACTTACATGGAACATGTCCCAATCAGGTTGCATAGTTTCTCTCTTCATTGCAAGGTGTGATTTCATCTTCACTGTAACTATCACTACGTTTTTCTAAGTTTTGCTCAAATAAGTAATCTTTCTCTTCCGCGCCTTCCACTCCTTCATGTAGACTTCTACAAGCTTTTGTTTCATTTTCTTTACATGAATCACGAAAATGAAAATCGATACCATTACTTTTTGGGCCCTGAATAATTCTTGTAAACTCACCTTTGGAAACTTTATCTTCCTTGGATGCTTGAACTTCATTCCATTTATCCTTGCAGGATTCTTGAACATCATGCATGATTTCATCCCACGATGTATATGCAACATAAATTAAAAGAACTCTCTCTTGGTTGTGGGCGGTAACTCGCATCGCCTTTTCTGCAGCAACCCTGATAGGTTCTGTCAATAACTGCATGTTTCCACTGAAATGTAATCTAACACCGTATTCGTTAATAATGCTTTCTTGTTGAAGCAACTCCTCGATCTTATCTCGCATTAATTCCATGAATGTTTGAACCTCTTCAGGCTTCCTTTTGAAATTACCAATGCTGAATGCATAGACACTTACATACTTAATACCCAATTCATAACAGTATCTAAGGATGGACATGAGAGCTGAAAATCCAGCCTTATGTCCATCACCTTCTACCAAGTTTCTCCTCTTTGCATACCTTCGATTCCCATCCATGTTGAAAGAAATATGACTCGGCAAAGGACCGATCGATAAAACGGAAAATATGCATCTTCTTAGATAACAACATAAACCTCCAAGCAAGTGACGTGTAATACCTCCTGCACTTTTCTGCATTGAAGTGTGCAGTAAAGAAACTTATAGGGTCTCAGATAAACCTGTATGATAAGAAAAAAAACAAGAAAATTAGCATTAAAAAAGTTGAAACAACAACAATTGAACATCATAATAGATACTCAAAAGAAACAAATGCAACACTTAATTTGTTTCGTTAGAAAAAGTACTGAACAATATAATTTTGTAACAGTAAGCAATAAGCAACTCTGTAGCACCGACCCATACTGACCCGACACTTGTAGTTATGTTTAATTAATTCATTTTTCAAAGTCATTGTCGGTTCAGTGTCATGTCCGTGCTGCATAGCATTAAGTTCAACATATACACTAAGTTTTCAGGTCAATATGTAAGAATAGAAGTTTATATTTAGATTATGGCATTCCTGTTGAATTGTTAAAAGAGACTAAAAACTTGAAAAATATTCATATAAAACAAACATGTTTTTATCATCAACAAGTGATAATATTTGTTGACAGAAACTGTAAAAGTGGATGAAACCAGAATCACTCTAGCTACCTTTCTCCATCAGTTTGCAACAATAAAGCTAAATCAAAATATAATTCACAAAATCTGCAACTGCCACAGATGAATATGTAGTACAACCTAATATTCTCTGCTATGTAGGAAAAAACTATCAAAATCAAGAATCAAATGCTTCTTTCCAGACATAAGAAAATAAATGGATAAAAATTTCACACCATATTTAACAACGCAAGCTCGACAGAGGTATGTTCTCCGGTATCAACTTCACTTTTCAAAGATAATGTCCAAGAGTTTTTTCATCACAGCACACCAATCATAATCTATAGAGAAGCCAACAAGCCATGTGTACCGTTTAACGTGAAAACGACCTTGAACAGGTGCTGCTGGCCCTAGCCTAAATTTCACACGAACTCTATGAAGGAGCCAACCCATTTCATGTACCAAATTCATTGCTCGAGTCTTTTCTTCCATTAATTTAGCCTTTATCTGGATGTCATCAGCAGTCTCTGCTGCTTCAATGACAGTTTCCAGATTACATATCTCCGAACAAATTTCAGGCTTTGCGACTAAGAATGGAAAGGAACAGCTGCTGAGACTATTATCTTCGACCTGAGTAAAGATTAACAAATCAGAGAGAAAGATATAACTTCCAAAACTAGCAACAATCACTTTGTAAAATTTAAGCAGATCTTATTTGGTTAAAAGAATATCACAGAAAATGAAAGTATATAGATATTGTAAGTTACCTCAATAAACCCTCTTCCAGTCATATTTGGTATATGACAAAAGAAGCTGAGATTCTGAAGCTCATGATGTCCAGAGGCTGCTTCGGCACCATCAATTAAATCATAACAATTATCCTCTACCAGATACTTTCCTTCGAGTGCACAGAGTAATCTGAAATCAAGAGGGAAAGGTTTAGCTTTTTGCCTCTCAAATCTTAAACGAATAAGGTGTTTGGAAACTACCTTGTACTAGACAGGAAAAGGTTTAACCCTTTCACAGAAAATTTAACGTCTGCACTCGCAGAAACAACAAGGGGCTTCACGCACAAAATTTGACAACTTTCTAGGCTCCCAAGACGCAACGGTGCATCGAAGGCCACCTGACCTGCACGAGATAAACAAGATATAAATTTTAATCCAAGTAATGTAGTCGAAAACTATAATGATAACTGAAATACAATCACATGAGAAGAATGGATGCCACACAAACAGTAAGAGGGAACAAACCATTATACAAAATAGCTACAGAGTTCCGTACTCTTGCATATATCAACCTTGTTCTCAAAAGTGAATCATTCGATGCAGCTATAAGCTTTCTCAAGCTAGATCCGAGACTATAGCATAGCTGCATTATGAAATAGTAATAAACTCATTCTGATTTATATGTTTGATGGTTCCATTAGGCAATTTATATACAAAACTATATCAAATTATACCTCATTCCATGCTGAATTTTCTAGGAGGAGACATATAGTTAAAATAATACACCCTGGCCTTATATAGCTCTCTATCTCTGTGGGACTGTGGGATAACCAGCTAAGGATCTAGTAAAGAAATTTTTAATCAAACAACATATAGAGAAAAAAGTTCAGTGAAATTGTGGTTTATACCAATTAAAAGGTAGGGGAAGAATACTTGTGATCGAAGAACAACAGGAAAATCATTAGGATCCTTGCCAAAAAGTTTGAAAACAATTCGATCTGTTCGACTCTGAAAACATAAAACAGTAAATAAATAATGTCAAAAGATGAAATCTTCGGGTAGCCATCATAAAATAAAGTTACACTCAGAATTTGATCCACGAATCACCTGGCCTTCCCTGCATGAACCTGTTTCCCAAGTAACCCCAAACCAAGAAAACCACAAACAGGAAGTATATTAACAACACCAACAACATCCGACATCAACCCATAACTCACTGTCATTTCACAAAAAAGCGAAACTGCAACTTTCGGAACAAAACAATATGAATAAGCTGAAACAATCGAATTCCACGACAACAAATCACAAGTCCCTCTATGACACAATTCATCAAACACCTTACGCGCGTGAACAAGCGCATTACATTTACCATACATCGAAACAACCGCATTACAAACAAATACATTAGAATCAACACCCGATCGTAATATGAAAGCATGAATCGAAGCCCCCAGATTGAACCGGAAAGAAGATACAGTGTGGTTCAACAAATTTTAGGGTTTGGCTTTAATTGAGAAAAGGGATGGAGGAAGGAGAGAAGACAAAATGGAAATGAAAATGGTGATGAAGCTTTTATCGAAATCTAAAGGACAAGGAACGAAGATGAGATTAAGGATATTGAGGTTTAAATTTGGAAAAAGAGAAGACATGAATGAGGAATGGGAAAAGGAAAAACGTGAATGAGGATATTGAGATTAAAAATATCATTTTAATTTTATAAATATTTTTCAAAAAAAATTGCAACAAAATGTATTATATTATAATTATTTTATTTCACTAAAATGTATTAAGTAGGAATCGAACGGGGGCCTTGTAAGAACCTCTTAGGTCAGGTAATAAACATGTGACTTAATAAATAAACTTTTTAAGTCATTTCGGTAAAAGAGCCGACTTAAGGAATTTAATGTAAATTACATTTCTTTTATTTAATCTTTGTTAGGTCGGTTAAACATAGACGCGACATAACAAAGTTTCAAATATTTACGGATTTTCCACCGGGTGGCTTCTTAAGTCGGGTTATCGATGAACTGACTTAAAAACCTATGCTAAGAAAGTATTTTTACACTAGTGTTGATCCAGCGTCTGATGCCAATTCTTAGGTTTCACAGCCACGTGCTTCTTAATAAGTCCGATTATCACTTTGTTAGCTGCTTCGACCTGACCGTTTGCTTGGGCATAATACGGGGTCAAAGTAACCAGTTTGAACCCTTCGTCTATTGCGAGTTGCCGCATTTTTTGGCCAATGAACGCTGACCCTTGATCTGTAGTGACCGTCTCCGGAGTGCTGAACCTATATAATATGTGCTTCTGAACAAAGCTGATAACAACTTCTTGGTCCACTTTCGACAAAGGTATGGCCTCAATCCATTTTGTAAAATAATTGATCCCAACAAGGATGAATTTATGTTATCGAGATGATGCGGGTCGAATCTCTCTGATTATATCCAAATCCCATCCTCGAAAAGGCCATGGTTTGACTGCCGCATGTAGTTCGTCAGCCGGTACCCTTTGAACACCGGTGTGCTTCTGACATTATTGACAGCCTTTTGAAAAATCTATACAATTGAGCATCTTTGGCCAATATAATCCCTGTCGAAACAATACCCACTTCATCTTTTGACCGACTTGGTGAGCTCCACATGCCCTACCATGTACTTCTAATATTGCCAAATACGTGTCAGCCTCTCCCAAACATCTAAGCAGTCCTCCTTCAGGCGACTTCTTAAACAACTCGCCTTCCATTAGGATGTAACTTAATGTTTGGTATTTGATCTTTCTGTCAGTAGCTGTTGTCGGCTCTGTCAGATAGTCGACCAACGGTTTTCACCAATCTGTCGGAGACAATTTGTCGATCGCCAAGATCGCGCCATGGTGCCTACCGCTGTTCCCTATTCCCGACCGACAGTTCTTTTCCCCAGCTTCCTGATCCTCAAACGACTTGTCTGTCGATTGGCCCTTAACTTCAATGAATGCTCTCAGTTTCTTCTCCAAAACCTTATATCCCGAGGCGATTTGCGCCAATTTGTTGGCTTCCTGACTACCCATCTTGGGCACGTGCAAAATGCCAACCACTTTGAATTGTCCTAGTAGATCTCTGGCGGTTGCGAGGTACCTAACCAAACTTTCTTTGATGCACTTGTATTCTTTGGTGAGTTGCTTAATGACTAACTCAAAATCACCTTTAATGTTAATGTTCTTGGCGCCTAAATCCCTGAGGATTTTTAGGCCGGCTAGCAGAGCCTCGTATTCTGCTTCATTGTTCGAGCATTTTCCTTCGACCCCACATTTGAATTTGGTCGGGTGACCCTGTGGAGAAACGATTAAAACGCCTATTCCGGCCCTATGTTTGTGCCTGGAACCGTCAAAGTATAACTTCCACGGGCTTATACCAATCAACCCGATTGGTGGGTTAGCAAACAGGAAAGTCTACTATGGAGTCCGCCACTATCTGCCCTTTCATCGCTCTCAAAGGAACGCAGGTAAGGGAGAATTCTGTGAGCGCCAACGCCACTTTCCCACTCGACTGTGTAAAATAGGTTTTGACAACATGTATTTAATAACGTCGAAATGAGATGAAACAAGAACCTTGACGGGTTTAGTATATTGCTTTAATTTGATACATGAAAAATACAAACATAGGCATAACTTTTCAATCATGGAATACCTAATCTCAGCGTCAATCAACATTCGACTAAGGTAATAAATGGATCTTTTAATGCCATTCTCGTCTTCCTGAGCTAACATGCTCCCTGGAGTTGTGTCGGACGATGCAATATATAGCTTCATGCTCTTGTTTGCGTTTGGTGGTAG